GGAAATTATAAGCCAATGAGCCTTACATCAGTGGTAGGGAAATTATTGCAGAAAATTCTTAGGGACAGAATTTACTTGCATTTGAAGAAGATTAGACTTCCTTGGGATAGTCAGCAGTGCTTTGTGCGGGGGAGGTCTTGTCTTACAAATTTGATTGAGATTTTTGAGGAAGTGAAAAAGGTGATTAATGAGGGTAAGGCAATGGATGTTGTCTACGTGTATTTTACTGAAGCATTTGACAAGATCCCTCATGGTAAGCTGGTCTAGAGATCAAATAGCATGGGATCCCTGGTGAGTTGGCACATTGGATACAATATTAGCTTGGCCATAGAAGACAGAGGGTACCAGTGGTGTTCCACAAGGATCAGTACTGTGACCTCTGTTGTGTGTAATATTATTTGGATGAAGATGTTGGTGGCCTGGTTAGAAAGTTTGCAGATGAAACAAAAATAGGTAGAATTGTGGATGATGAGGCAGAATGTCAAAGGATGCAGCAGAATATAGATCAGCTGGAAATTTGGGCAGAGTAATGGCGGATGGAGTTTAATTTAGGCAATTGGGAGCTGCAGAGAAATAAGGCAAGTTTAGCCAATAAGCAGAGGCAAATCTATGGAAATAAGGTAGTCACTGTTCATTAGTAAGATTCTGAATTCACTGTTTAAACTTTAAGGGGAATTTTCTTGACATACAGAAATCTTTTTTTTTCATTTTTGCATTATTTTCCCAACTTTCTGGCCATTGATAACACTGTTAAAGGAATGGAAAATTCAGCTCTAAGTGCAATTTGCTTTTAAAAATGTATTCATGGGATGTGGGCATCACTGGCTGGCCAGCATTCATTGCCCATTTTTAGTTGCCGTTGATAAGGTGGGGGTGAGCTTCTTTCTTGAACTGCTACAGTCCATTGTGGTTGACCACAATGCTGTTAGAGAGGGAATTCCAGGATTTTGACCCAACTACAATTAAGGAATGGTGATATATTTCCAAGTCAGGATGGTGAGTAGCTTGGAGGGGAACTTGCAGATGTTGGCATTCCCATGTATCTGCTGCCCTTGTCCTTCCAGATGGAAGTGATTATACATTTGGAAGGTGCTTGCATGAAGTCATGGTGACTTTCTATAAAAATAAGAACTATATTAATGTTCACCAGATTAATTTATTTATGGCTATGGACTTCATTTGCATAATTAGGTTAGACGTGCATGATAAAAGCCATATATATACTGTTATTGTCAAAGACAAAGGAGTTGTTTTAAAGTTTGCATTGCTCAATACTGCTACCTTTTGCAAGCAACCACAATGGACAGTGAGCAATATTGTGGTCAAGATCTTATTTTATCACTCCTTGTCTGTCTGTTTCTCACATTGTTAAATACACAAACAGCAGAGACTATCAGGAGAAAATGTCATTGAGGATGATAGATTCTGGGCCGCCTGTACCTCCTGAGGGGACTTCCAGTTGCGGCTTCTTCATGTGGAGAGCTGCTGCTGATACTGAGCTTGCTGGCCTATCTGTCCTTCCTCGATATCTCTGCAGCTTTGTTTTGCCTCAACTGCTTTGACCATCACCCCTGCTGTGGCTGGTGCAATTGGTCATGCTTGCAATAAACCTTTGTGGAGAATACCAGAAACAGAACAGGTCCTCAGTAATGTGAACTGTGACATTTGCATCATTCACAAATGCTGGTTTGGATTTGTCCTCTGTAAAGTGGAACATGGAAAACTCTGACCACTAGCTTAGACATAGGGTCCTTATTCCAGTGGATGCAGCACAGGCCATGCTAGATAAAGTACTGTCAGAGACTGTAAGTGCTGTATGATGATTTATACCTTGCCTCACACCCTCCACATTACCCCAGAAACTGCATCTAACAGCATGCTATCAAATACTTACAGTTCAACGTGTGAGGAAATCAGCTCCAGATCTTTGTGCAGCTTACAAGGTATTGGATTGTTTTTGTGAGTTGTGATCCTAAGTGACACTTTGAATGCTGTCTGTGCTTGCTTCTGCTTCACAGATTTTTATTTTTTCTTTATTCATTCATAGGATGAGGGTGTCGCTGGCTAGGCAGCATTTATTGCCCATCCCTAATTGCCCAGAGGGCAGTTAAGAGTCAATCACATTGCTGTAGGTCTGGAGTCACATGTAGGCCAGACCAGGTAAGGATGGCAGTTTTCTTCCCTAAAGGACATTGGTGAATCAGATGGGTGTTTCCAACAATGCATTCACAGTCATCATTAGATTCTTAATTCCAGACATTTTTATTAAATTCAAATTCCACCATCTACCATGGCGGGATTCAAATCCAGCTCTCCAGAATTTATCTCGGTCTCTGAATTAACAATCCAGTGTTAATACCACTAGGCCATCGCCTGGATGACTATTTTCAATCAGCAATGACCAATGGCAATGATAAGATTGCTTGTAATCAGGATTTGTATCCCACACAGTTAGACACTTCACGTTCAGGATACTATGATCACAGATTTCTTCAACCTATTCTGTATTAGTACTTCACTAATGCAATTGCCCCTTGATTAGCTTCACACCACTCAAAATACAGCCCAACTACTCAGAGAGAATAAATCCACTTACTATGCCCACTCTTGATCTGGCTGTAACTATTTTCCATATCCATCGAACATTTACATTTTGCCTGAGAATGGAAGCTAATGCAGATTGTGTTTGACATAGTGAGTCTGAGGTTAAGCCTGGTCATCTAGTGAAGACCCCACAACAACCCCCAATCCAAGTTCCTTTCCTCCTTATACTCTTTGTCAACCCCATCAGTACTGAGCATCCAAACATGTAATTTACATTTTCACCTCCCTGTGCTCCAGCACTACAACTTAGCCATGCCAGCCATTATGCTGCACTGCCCCTGTTGACAGTCAATGACCTCCCTTCTGCAACAGCCCATATTATCTAATAGACTATTGTCACCCCCATTTTGTTCAGTTACTCCATTCACAACTATTGTCCCCTCTGCATCCCAGTGTGCTGCCTCTAATCCCCAGAGTTGAATTTCTCAACCAACCCACCACAGCAGTGGCCCTTGGTAACCCTCCCCTCCCCCCCAACCTTGACTTTCATTGAGCTGACTCCAAAGACTAACCACAGCCCACACCCCTGAATGACTTTGTCAGACAGCCCAGACTGGTGGCTGACCTACCTCTGTATAGCTCCCTGACTGACTGACTGACCATGAAACCCCAGACTGGTTGCAATGGATCTGCAGAATCAACTGTGACCCATTCCCCAGACTATGGTGAGATGGATCTGCTGACCCTGACTACCCCAGCTAGCTGACTGTCCATGTTCAAGTCGTTATACTAATATCAGATGCTACCCTTGACTGAAGGTCATCTTTCTTGACTTGACCAAGGATTGGTTTAGACTCCAGTTAGATTTTGAGACATGGCCATTGTGTTGAGCACATCCAGTGTGTTTATTGTGTAAGCAGCTGGCACATTGGTGAAGGTGTAACATTGATGTAGCACAGTGCTTTACAGCAATATGTTAACACCTTTGACTGACCACTGCTGACAATCATGACAAGCTGCCTGGCTTTGTGTCAAAGCAAGACAGAAATACTGTGTGTCCTTAACTTTTGAACAAGGCGGCATAGAGCAAACAGGCAAAGGAAGCAAGGCAGAGATTTGTAAGCATCCGAGTTGATGTAAAATGATTGAATGCTAAGGGAGCAAGCGATGAGCCCTGAGATGCCCTCTGGTTTTATCCTGACAGCAGCATTACTGAAAGTCTGCTCCAAAGTATAGAAGTGGGATGGAGAACTATACTGTAAGTGGGTCAAAGATGTGCCATGTGCAATGCCAATTTCTGCAGATTGGTTTGTGGATGTTCACTGCACATGGAACATGCCTGGAGATGTTTGGGATTGCTTGTCGAGATGGAACATTCAAGGAGCAAGCACCGAGCTGGATCCTACTGACAAAAACAACAAAAATAAATAGCACAAATTTCTGCAGGTAATGAAATAAGGAAAAGAATCAATAAGGTGGGATAGCACAGTGTGGAGCTGGAGGAACACAGCAGGCCAGGCAGCATCAGAGGAGCAGGAAAGCTGACGTTTCGGGTCGGGATCCATCTTCAGAAATGGGGGAGCGGAAGGGGGCTCTGAAATAAATGGGGGGGGCAGTGTTGGCAGGTAGTCACTTGGGAAAATATGACGAGATTGTCAAAAATGAGATTCTCAATTTGGAGAGAAATAAATGATTCTGCAACCATATTTCAAAAAAGGAGACAGAAATCTCACTAGTGAATAGCAAGTACCTACGTTTGCATGCTAGTAGTACCTAATCTCACCACATTGATATATATTCTTATATTGTCCCACATACCACAGAGATATAAAACAGTGACAATTCACAACATGAAGGTCTCCATATTCTCGCTCTATGAAGGACTAACTCTCACTTTACAGGCACCATTGACCATGTGGTCACCATCGCAGCACCTGCGGACGCCACAGATCACATCACATAGTGGTGAGGATTGGTCAGTGAGGTGGGAGGAGCGGATAGGTGGGAGAGAAGACAGACAGGTCAATCAGGCAGGGATGAGAGGGGTTGCTGGTCGAGGGATGAGGTCGGGGGTGGGGAGATTTTGAAGCTTGTAAAGTCCACATTCAGACCATTGGATTGTAGGCTTCCAAGGCAAAATATGAGTGCTGTTCCTCCAGTTTCTGGATCGCATTGTTGTGACACTGGAAGAGGCCCAGGATGGACATACCATCCAGAGAGTGGGAGGGGAAGTTGAAGGGGTTCGCGACTGGAAGGTAGTGTCCCGGACATAGGTGGGGAGTTCCTGGACCGGGGGGAGAAAATAGAGTCGGTGTCGGCGGTGAGTGGAGCAGCGTCGGCGTCGGCAGGGGCATCCTTGATGTTGGCGGTGACAGCAGCGTCCTTGATGTAGGCAGTGCTCACAGTCTCGGCAGGGAAGTGGCGGTATCCGTGGTGTGGATAGCAGTAGCGGAAGCATGGCTTGCAGTACTGGAAGTGGCGTGGCCGGCGTCGGCGGATGTGACGTGATCTGTGGCGTCCGCAGGTGCTGCGATGGTGACCACATGGTCAATGGTGCCTGTAAAGTGAGAGTTAGTCCTTCATAGAGCGAGAATATGGAGACCTTCATGTTGTGAATTGTCACTGTTTTATATCTCTGTGGTATGTGGGACAATATAAGAATATATATCAATGTGGTGAGATTAGGTACTACTAGCATGCAAACGTAGGTACTTGCTATTCACTAGTGAGATTTCTGTCTCCTTTTTTGAAATATGGTTGCAGAATCATTTTTTTCTCTCCAAATTGAGAATCTCATTTTTGACAATCTCGTCATATTTTCCCAAGTGACTCATCATTGCCCATGTTGTTCAGGGGTTGGGAAAATTCCACCCAATGTTTCAGATCAATAACCTGTCATTGGATCAGCTGTAAGGTTTTGAGTTGAGAATACTGACTCACGCTTACCCTTGTGGAAAATAAACACTTGGAATTTCCTCAGAGTTTTACTCTGATTGACTGATGTAGCTTCAGTGGAAATCGTCAGTGGAAATGCATACATACTCTATATTGATCATCTAACATAAATCCACTGAGAATGCCCAATAAAACTGCCCGATGAATAGATACCTTGTAAATTTAAGTCAATACATCCTCAAACATGAAAATCACCCCAGGAACCTGGATTGCTGGGGAGTTTCCAGCATTAAGACAGATGCACTAAGCTGCCAATCCAGAATAATGTTGTAGGTGTATTGCGACTGCAGTTAAGTAGGTGATGTCAATGCATTCAATTGTAAATTAACATTCTGTGTTTGGCCTTTATATAACTGATTTTATTTTTTACAAATATCTGTCACCTTCCTTGGAGTAAAAGATAAAATTACAGCAGACTCTGAAATGTTCTAAAATGCTCCTGATGGAATGTAAAAATCAGGGGAGGCTGAAATGCCTCCTTTGACTCCTCCAGAGGAAGAGATTAGAATGTGGGCTGAAACCAGAGATGAACATAAAAAGGGACAGCAAAAGTTTCTATGGGTATTGAAATTAGGAAGAGAAAAGTAAGAATGTGGAGATAATGAAGTAATGGGGATGAAGTGAACAAATATTTTGCTTCTGTCTTCACAGAAGAGGACACAGCAAACATTCCAGATATAGCTGTAACCCAGGAGGTGGAAGGGAAGAAGGAGCATAGTGAAATTGCAATCACGAGGGAAGTGGTGCTAAGCAAACCGAAGCAGATGGTCATTGACTTCAGGAAGTGGAGTGGAGGGCACGCCCCTGTCTGCAACAATAGTGCTGAGATGGAGATGGTCAAGAACGTCAAGTTCCTGGGATTGATGATTGCCAACAATCTGTCCTGGTTCTCCCATGTTGATACAATGGTTAAAAAAGATTGACAATGTTTCTATTTCCTCACGACGCTAAGGAAATTCGGCATGTTGACAAGGACTCTTACAAATTCTTATAGATGCATGATAGAAAGTGTCCTGTGTGGATGCATCACAATGTGGTTTAGCAACTGCTCTTCCCAACAAACTACAGAGAGTTGTGAACACAGCCCGGTCCATCACACAAACCAGCCTTCCATCCACTGACTCAATCTATACTCCCCGCTGCCTCTGGAAAGCAACCAACATAATCAAACACCCCTCCCACCCTGGTTATACTCTCTTCCCTGCTCTTCTGTCAGGCAGAAGATACAAAAGTTTGTATACACGTATATATAATTTCTTCCCTGCTGTTGACAGACTTTTGAATGGCCCTGTCAAATTTTAAATTTAAAGTTGATCTCGCTCTCTGTGTCTGTTCTATTACCCTAATGCACTTTGTATCTTATGATCTGCCTGTACTAAACACAAAACAAAACTTTTCACTGTACTGAGGTATATGTCACAATAATTAATCAAGTCAAATCAAACCAGGTCAATCAAATCAAGTCAAATCAAAGGCTGACAGTCTCCCAACCATTCATTCTGGATTTCCATGGATTTCAGTCTAGCATGTTAAAAGAGTTAGCTAATGAGATAACATATGCATTGGTGTTAGTTTTCCAAATTTCCCTAGATTCAGAAAGGTTCCAATCGGACTGGAAAATAGCCAATATAACTTGTTTATTCAGGAAAGGAGGGAGGTAGGAAACAGAAAGCTATGGTCCATTAGCATATTCTGTGAATTGAGGTTATAGCAGCACACTGGAAAAACTCAAGATGACCAAGAAGAGATGGCTAAGTTTCATCAAAGGGAAATAGTATTTAACAATTTAGTGGAGTTCTTTGAAGAAGTAGCATGCTGTGGATGAAGGGGGAGCCTATTCACATGGTTTATTTGGATCTCCAGGAGGCATTTGGTAAAGTTGCCACATCAAAGGTTATTGTGGAAAATAAAAGCTCACAGTGTGGAGAGTAACGTATTGGCATGGATAGAAAATTAGCTGGCTGACAGGATGTAGCGATTGGAGACCCAGCCAGGGGTCTGTGCTGGGGATTCAACTTTGTTACCAGCAATGACGAATTATTTTCTGAGATTCTGTTTCCATTGGAGTTTAGAAAACTGAGGGGTGACTTCATTGAAGTGTAAAAGATCCAGAATGGTCCTGACAAGGTCAAGATGGAAAACCTCTTGTGGATCAATCATTGACAAACATCTTTGTATCCTTTTTGGCCACAGGTGAGATCCCAGAGGACTAGAGAATAGCCAATGTTTTCTCATTATTTAAGAAGGGTAGCAGGGATAAACCAGGAAATTATAGTCCTGCGAACCTCATGTTGGTGGTAGGGAAATTATTGGAAGAGATTCTCAGGGACAAGATCTATACGCATTTAGAAGCAAATGGAACGTGTTAGCAATATATTTTGTACAGGGAAGGTCATGCCTAACTAACCTGATCAAGTTTTTTGAGGAGGTGACAAAGATGATTGATGAGGGAAAAGCAGTTGATGTTATCTACATGGACTTCAGTAAAGTCTTTGACAAGGTCCCTCACGACAGACTGGTACAAAAGGTGAAGTCAATGGTATCAGGGTGAGCTGGCAAGATGGATACAGAACTGACTTAGTCATAGGAGACAGAAGGTAGCAGTGAAAGGATGCTTTTTGGAATAGACAATTGTGACTAGTGGTGTTCCACTGGGATCAGTGCTGGAACCTCTGCTGTTTGTGGTCTACATAAATGATTTGGAGGAAAACGTGATTGGTGTAATTAGTAAGTTTGTGGCTGAAATAAAGTTTGGTGAAGATAGTGAGGAGGATTGTCAGAGGATACAGCAGGATATAGGTCAGTTGGAGGCATGAGCAGAAAATTGGCAGATAGAGATTAATCCAGGCAAATGTGAGGTGATGCATTTTGGAAGGTCAAATACTGCTGCAAATTGTACAGTGAATGGCAGAACCTTTAGGAGTGTTGATATGCAGAGGGATCCTGGTATGCCGGTCCACAAATCACTGAAGGTGGCAGTGCAGGTAGATAAAGCAGTAAAAAAGACCTATGGCATGCTTCCCTTCATTGGAAGGGGCATTGAGTATAAGGATAGACAAGTTATGCTGCAGCTTTATAGAACTTTAGTTAGGCCACACTCGGAATATTGCGTACAGTTCTGGTCACCACACTACCAGAATGATGTGGGTGCTTTGGACAGGGTGCAGAAAAGGTTTACCAGGATGTTGCCTGTATGGGGGATTTTAGCTATGAAGAAAGGTTGGATAGACTGGGTTTGTTTTCACTGGAACACAGGAGATTGGGGGGGGGGGCGACCTGATAGAAGTTTATAAGATGGTGAATGGCATGGATAGAGTGGAAAGTATTAGGCTTTTTCTGAAGGTGGTGGGGTCAATTACTGGGGGGAAGAGGTTCAAGGTGTGTGTGGTGGGGGTGGGGGGAATGTTTAAAAGAGATGTGCAAAGTAAGTTTTTTACACAAAGGGTGGTGAGTACCTGGAACACTTAGTGGTGTTCCATTAGTAGAACACACTGCCAGAGGAGGTGGTGGGTGCAGTCACAATAGCAGCATTCAAGAAGCACCTGGACGAATCCATGTATTAGCATAGAAGGGCAAAATGTGTTGGTGTAGGTTTGGAGCACCAAAGGACCTGTTCCCGTGCTGCATTGTTCTTTGTTCTAATCCAAAACTAGGAGGCACTTTTTTGAAAATTAGGGGTCGCCCTTTCAGGACAGAAATGAGGGAAATTCATTTCTCTCAGAGAGTTGTGTGACTTTTGAATGCTCTGCCTCAGGGCATGGTAGAGGTGAGGTCCCTAAATGTTTTTAAGATAGTGGTGGATAGATTCTTGCTGGGTAGGAGAATTAGGAGTAATTGGGCACAGCTGGAAATGTAGACTTCAGAACACAAACAGATCAGCTGTGATTTTATTGAGATGCGGATCAGGCTCAAACGGCCGAATGATCTATTTCTGCTCCTACTTTGTATGTACTTGCTGTGACTTATAGCAGCTAATCCAAGAGCTGTTATAATGTTAGGATATCTGTCACAATTTCACACCATAAGACCATAAGAAATACGAACCAGAGTAGGCTGTTCAGTCCTTGAAAGCTGATCTGACACTCCTCACATTCGCTCTCCTGCCCTTTCCTCATAACTCTTCATTCCTCTACTGATGAAGAATCTATCTATCGCAGCCTTAAATATGCACAAAGACTCATCCCCTGCCCCTGACAGCTCTCTCTGGCAAGGAGTTCCAAAGGCTGTCATCCCTCTGAGAGAAGAAATTCCCCCTTATCTTAGTCTTCAATAGGCACCCCTATATTCTGAGGCTATGTTCTGTGGCCCTAGACTCTCCCATGAGGAGAAACAAAGCACTTGGTCTTTCTCACAGCCCTTTAGCAAGTATTTAGCTGATGTCATCCAGTATTAATATTCACACATCAAAATGGAACTTGGCAGAAGGCAGAGGAAAAATATGGATGATTGGAAAAACAGATTGTGGATTCTTTCTTTTAGCTGTTCTTGAGTGCATTGCTGCGGAATTGTTGTTTATGTTTGTAGATGTTTGTAGCATATTTCTCTCATCATTGTCAGCGTCATTCTCTGAAGATCATTCTTTCGAATTAAACTGGAGGAAAGCAGACGA